CTACAATTATTTCTTAAGAATCTGGTACTATTGGCTCATTTAAAAGAAAAGGGAGATTGATAGGTGACTGCCAGCAAGAAGCAACTATCCCAGCATATATCAAAAGTTCCAGCAAGCTATTTTTAATTCATTCCTGACAATTAGCCTCTTTCCAGTAGAGCATCTTTGAATGTCATTCTCAACACAGGCTAGCCTGAGGAAAGAGGATTTGGTTACTTTAGATCAGGTTCCTCCTACAAAAACCGAGGGAAATGGAGTTAAGTGTGAAAATCATCAGTGCACATAGCATGGTTGGCACTGAGCTTTAAAATGTTCTCCGGCAAGGCTTCACTCTCTTTCCTCTATCCTGTTAGTTTTCCATATTACATACATCATCTGCCATTCTGTGGCTGAGCTCCGTGTTTAATGTCTGTCTAATGAAGGGTAAACTGCATGTGGACAGGGGCTTTGTCTTTGATACTGCTCTCCTCAGTGTCCAGCCAAAAAGAAGTACTCAATCATTATTTGAAAAATAAACTATCAATAGCTTACATGAAAAAAAAATGAGATTCAAGTTGCCTTTTATTAGGATGTACTTACATTTTCAATACAGACCTAAATTACAGATGATCTCTTTAGCAGCTTTTAAGATATTCTTTTTAGCATTTATCTCATGCCAAACAGTCTTGTAAATATTTCGAATATATGGTTCTTTTAGTCATGAGTATCACCCAGTAAAAAACAAAAGTTAGTTTTTAAAGAGGAATTTGAGGAAGAGAAAATGTCAACAAATGTCACAGCAAATTTAATAAACCAGGGTTCAAACAAAAGAAATCTGGCTCTGAAATCCATGTTTTTAATAGCTAAGCTGTATTGCTTTTGCAAAGCTTCGAGTGGCTTAGAAATCTGTCTCCTAGACTGGCTCCAGGCTGGACTCATTAGGTGGGTTTCTGGTAATCAAGAGCTACGTGGAGATGCCTCCTTGGTAGCGTTGGACCGCATTGACCCACCATAGAGTACATACCATTCACCAGCAAGTGTTGATTGAATTGGACTGACTTGTCCTGAGTCACTTTGACTTCATAACCCTGTATACCCCTGGTTATCTTCTTACTTCCCTTGCTTGCTCTTTTCAACTTGTGTCTCCACACATTCTTTACACTGAAATTTAGCTCTTGGTTGTTTGATCTTAGGCCCATTTCTCTTCTCCCTATACCCAAATTCCATGGATCTATCAACTACTGTGATTAGCACCTACATTCTGTTGCCTCACACTATTTGAGGCCAGTTTGCACTCCTAAGATTTAAACTCCCATGGTCAAGTTTGTGTTGAATTCTCATATGCCCCAAAACCATTCTGTTTATTTAGGTCAATTTGTTTCTCCCAGCTCCTTCCAGAACTTATTCTCTGTTTATTTTCCCTATCAATATTACCTTTCTCTGAAAAGCCTCCCAAGTCAGAAAACTGGAAATCACTTTCCACCTTATTTTTCAAATCTAACCATCCTGTAAGCCTGTTAATTTCATAATTTTAATGGCTTGTTTACCTATGTTCATTCCCATGGTTTTCAGTGAGGTTCAGATCCTCTCCTGACTTACCTGTGGCATTTTCTCCACAGAGTCCGTGGAATACCACTTCTCTTTACTTCTCACCTTCAATTGCCCTTTTACTTTCCTCAGCATGCCTGAAATCTCTGGATTACTGTTTCCTTCCATCTTTTATATCCCCCTGTTTATTTCCCTCTTCCCAAGTTTTATTTCCCATTCCCAAGTTTTCTTTATCTGATTATCAATCAGGTACTATTGGACTGTCATTTCTGCCAGAAAAACATTCCTAAGGTTCCCATATCTTGGCTGAGCTCACCTTCTTTGGAATGCCACAAAACTTCTAATTTCTCCACTATGGCACTTGTGCTGTAATTATACTTTTTAATGTTTGTAAGGGAATAAAAGCAGACTACAATAATGATTCATTTTGTTCATTGCACTTAGATATAATCTAATTTATCCTTAAATGAAAGAACCAGTCAAAACTAGGCCAGTGGGTGACTGCTCTGTGCCATCTGGTCATTCAAGAAGCGTTGTCATCTTCAAGCTGTGACTTTCCAATCACCCTCCATGGCAGTCCCTGCTAGAGTAACTGGTAGGGTCATTTAAGGGAGATTTCATGGCCAGATCATAAAATGAAAACCACCACACCCACTCACATTCCATTAAATAGAACACAGCACATACCATACCCAGTAGCATGTGATTCTGAACACGGACATTTATCTGTGCCAGAATGGAATGGGTTTGGTGATCAGCCTGTCATCTGCCCCAGTGACTCTTAATTCTCACTAAACTATAAACTCTGTGAAGGCAGGAACAAAATTTCTGTTGCTCTTCAACTAGTATATAGTAGGCGCTCAATAAGTATTTGTTGAATACATGACTTCATGCATATCACTGTACATAACTTCTCTTTTTTCTTTCCCTCTGCTGTCTACCATTTATATATCTCCTCTCCAGCTTATGAGGCAGCTTCTAACTCATGTTCCGTATCTGACATTTCTCATGGAGTCATGGTGGAGTGAAAGTGTCTCTTTGGAGTTCATTATGGGGCTGCTTTGCAAAAGCAATGATTGTGATTGTCTCTGGAAGGGAACTGCTTGTGGAAGCATAAACCACAATGCCAATTCACTTATTTACCATGCATATGTATTTAGGACATTTTTTAACTATGTGCTTGCAATTTAAGATATACCTTTTCCAAGAATTCACGAACCGGGTAAGGCGGGATACCATGAACTAACTGAAACTCGAAAATTAATAGGCATAATGCCTATCATTCTCAAAGGGGATTGTTGAGGACATTGAACACACATACAGTCTTGTTTTTATAGACAAAGGAAAATATTGCTTTTAATTGCACTAAAAATAGGTTTGAAAAATAACTGCTTTAGCAATGAAAAAGGAAAAAACGAAAAATGACTGCTTTTATTTTATGATGATCATAAACACACAATATGTACTCCTTATTTCACAGTATTTACTGCTAGAAATGTGGGGCCATACACACTGAAAAAAATAAAGAACATCAACAAATGCGTTTTATATACTGTCCCCACTTAATTGCAACAGGACTCAGCATTTTTCCAATTATTTTTCTTGTCCTTGTTTCCCCTTTCTATTCAGTGTCTTTAAATTCTTGTGTTGCATATTTATGTAAGATAACCTAAATGTGCTTTGGAGAGGATACATATAGATAAAATATACCCAAAAATGGCCATTTGAGGAGACTCAAACGATGAATGTAGTTGTATATTTTTCTTCTTAATTATCTAACTTGGTTTATCTCCAAGAAAATTTCAAATGAACATAAACTTGCATTTCGTTTTGAGTGGGAAAAGGAAGAGACTGGAAAATTATGGATAGTATAAATATAGAGATAACTTTACAAGCTAAAAAGTAGGGGTATGCATTTGGCACAATAATTAAGTCATTTTGGGGGACATCTGCACGGCACACCAGAGTCCCAGCTCTGCTTCTGAGTCTAGCTTCCTGGTAATGTAAACCCTGGAAGGCAGTGGATTATTGCTCAAATAGTTGGCTCCCTGCCACCCATATGGGATGCACAATTTGAATTCATGGCACCTGACCTGGGCCTGGCCAACACTAGGTTGTTGTGGGCATTTGAGCAGTGAACCATCAGGTAAATGATTTCTCTATCTGACTCTACAAAAACGTCTAGGGGAAGGAACAGAAATAAATAAGAAAAGCTGCATTTGGTGTCTGTCTATTTTATATTATTAACTCACTGTGAGGTAAGTTTAATGAGGACAAGGACTTTGTTTATTGCAAAATCTCCAACATGTAAAGGGTGGTACACTGGAGGAAAAAAGTATGAAAGTGCCACTGCAACAAATTAGGAGTTAAGAGAAATAGATTAATAGCAAAGGAATAGTCTTGAATATTGGTAGATAATCACAAGCATATACCTTTTGGATTCAGTTTCATCAGTTATAAAGTGATGCTATGATATTATAAATCCATTAAAATTCTTTCCAACCCTAATAATTCATGTTCCTGTTGAATCTCATAGTGTGAACATGGGAATGTAAGTACTTATAACAATTTCATTTTTGAAATAGGATATCCGGCTACATCTTCAAAGACCCCATTAGACATGAGTGCATCTACCATCTCTCATAGTGAGTATAACAAACCTTGTTTCCCATGGTTCACCAAAGACAAAACATGGCTGGTTGTATGTGTCAGAAATTAAGCCACTGCTGAGAATGCTCACATCCATATTGTAGTACCTGGTCCAATTTCCCAGCTCCTTGAGTTCCAATCCAGCGTCTTGTTGAGGCACATCCTAAAACCAGCAAAAATGGAACACATGCTTTCATTCCTGTCATTCATGTGGGAGACCCCAGTGGAATTTTAGACTCCTGGCTTTGAACTGTTTCTGGTCTTGCTGTTGTAGACATTCGCGGGGGTGAATGAACATATGAAGAATCTTTCACCTTTGCAAATAATATGAAAATATATTTGTAAAAAAATCAAAGAGACAGAAACACAATCTTTACCTTCTACAATATTAAGATTTGGGCAAAGGATGTATTTGTTCATTCTATGCTGATATTTTGCTTTAAATTACTTTATAGTGACTACATATTGATATGACAATTCCTGTGATCTTAAAAATAAGAGTTGCTGGTTTGTTATTGCACAGTCCCTTTCATTTGTCAAGGGGTTTTTAGGTAATAAGAAAGTAATTTTCACAGTATTCCCAATGATCTGAGATGGTGACAAGAACAGAGAAAGAGAGCAAATCGGGAAGCAAGCTGGCATTAAACATAAACTACAGAGCTTTTGCTCGATATTAATATGCCACAGAGCATTCCTGCTTGAGAAGGACATTTTCAATTTCAGATTTCCCCAAAGTCATATAGATTAAAAATTCAGCACATCAAGGCAATGTTAAATCACAGCTGTATAAAAAGTTGGCTTCTGAAAATAATTTTGTCTTTCAGCCAGCAATTCCCATGTCACTACCCAAGACATCAGCCACTCCTGGACCTCCAGTGGGACAGATGCCAAGAAATGTTAAGTATAAGCGTGGGCCCTGCAGCGTCTTCTGCGTCACATTCATTCACTCAGCACATGTGCTGAACAATCACTATGTGTCTTGTACATATTCAAATGGGCTGATACTGAGGAAACAGCTATCCATGCAAAACACTGAGCATGACAGATCCAAGTTCCAAATGCTAGAGGAGGAAGGACTAACAAATGGTAAATAGTGATGAGGGAAAGCAAAATTGGGAAGGTGGGTGGTAACAAAGGTGAGGAGTAGGTCATCATTTTAAATGGAATGGTCTTTCAAAGTCTTCCTGACAAGCATTCCTGTATGAGCAAAGATATAAGCAATGAAACACAAAGAGTAAACTCTAAGTGTGGAGAGGGTAAAGTGAAAACAGTAATGAAAATGGGAAGAGGGAGCCCAATGGAAGACAAAAATGGTTTTGTTGATGCTGTGATTGGCCAACTAGCCATCAGGTCTGTGGATGTTGTGGTCACAGGAATGGTTAAGGTCCGAAGAGAAAATAGTCTGCCTGTTCATGGTAATGAGAAAATGCTCTGTGTGATGCATAAACAGTGAGGAATTTGTAGCAAAAAGGACACAGCATGCCTCCTGCCAGATGCGTAGATGTTAGAATCTAACAGCTAAGCCTTTTGTCATAAAGAAATGCATCTGTCCCTTTGGAAAGCATTGAAGTCACGCACTTAAGACCATCAAAAAAACTTTATACCTACTGGCCTAGTCATCTCACCACAGGGAACCCGTCCTTGGGAGATGGAGAAAACACACATGTCTAATACTGTTTTTTGTGACATTATTAATCTTATTCCTTTGGCAGACGTCAGGCTCAAAGGGTTGAATTTATCTTAATCTAAAATTTGTCATGTACTTTTTCATTGTATATTGATGGATCAGAAATGTATATTAACAGTGGTTCAACAGGTTGCTGAAGGAGTTTTGGAGCAGTAAACCTGAAAATATTAGCTATTTATAAGAAAAAATACATTAAAATGCGTCCTCACTGTGCACATTATATAAAAGTAAACTCCGTATATTTTAAGATTGTTATATCAACAGAAAACAGCAAAATGTGTTAATAAAATAAAGGTGAATCTCATCCTGGATTTAGAACAGGGAAGGATTTTAACAAAGACACAAGCATCAAGCAAAAAGATTTAAAAATTAGAACAGAATTAAAATATCTGTGCTTATAAAGACATATTAAAGAAAAGACTGAAAGGAAATTAAAACCTACAAGAAGAAATTTGCCACACATATAATTTGTGTTTATATTCCTGCGGAACTGTGGCTGTCCTGGATTTTACTTTTTGAATATTACAGTTAGTGGTAAATTAATCCTGTGAGTACAGAGTGGATTGAAATTCTTTTTTTCACAGAAAATAAAGAGATAAAACAAAAAGAAAGAAGGAGGAGTACTGAGTGAAGAAGAAGAGAAAGGAGTAAATATGGTTATTAGAACTATAGCTATGAAGCACATGGAAATCTGCTTATATCACAAAAATTTTGAAAAGAAGACAAAATTGAGAAATAGTCAAACCAAGAGTTTACAAAGAATTCCTACACATCTATAACAAAAATATGAAAAAATAGGAAATGTACAAAAGTAATTCATGAACTGTAAATTGATAAGAAAATAAATCTGTGTCCAGCCACTCTTCTAATCATAAATTGTAGACAGGGACCAGAATCAGAAAGTCATTCTACCCATAATCATTTGGCAAAAAGTAAGAATTTTGGTATTTGCAACTGATGAGTAGAAGTTATTCATCGTCCTACCAACATGATGCATTGCATGTTGCTGGTGGGAGTCAGAATTATTACCATGCTTCCCATCACTTCGTGTTATATTGTAAAGCTGTACCTGTGCCTAACTTAGAGCTCAAAAATTATACACACACACAATGTATACAGAACATATGTGCACAAATATTGGGGGAAAACACTCAATTTTAGAAAAACTCCTAAATAACCAAAATGACTATGTTCAGGAGAATAAATTGTGTTGCTCAAAAAATAGTATAAGGTAGAGCAACGAAGAATAGATAACAACCACACATAAGTATATAAATGAATTTTGATATCATTGCTTTGAGTTTAAAACAGGTAAATATCCTAGCAGATATTTGCCTATCAATTAAGTCTCTCAGTGGGACAACCATTCCCCACACTGAAGTGTCTAAATTTGAGTCCTAGTTCACACAGTGAGAAAAAAATGATACGTTTAGTTGGAATTTTTTTGAACTTTGGGCTTGTTTATCTCATTAAAAACTGACGTTATAACACAAGGTGCTTCAAAAATTATTGGAAAACAGAATTAAGGGATGTTCATTTTGTGCATATCAAAATGAAATCCATGCATGAGGAGATCTTCAAAAAGTTAATGGATATTTTTATTATGAAAAACTATGTATAACTTTCAATGTTGTTTGTATTGCAAATGACAAAATTAATGTTTGCCATCCTGTGTGTCAACACGGGGGCTTTGAGATTACTCAAAGTATTTTTCTTGCCAAAATTCTGTAATTGAAAGGGTTTGGGCTTATTGCGTACACAGGATGGCTTTGGTTTTATTGATAGCCATCATAATGTAATAAATTGCCTGTGGGCCTTCACATTTCTTCCTTTACCATGTGAGAGTTTCACTTAGACATGTCTACCATCCTTATTGTAACAGTAGCTTTAGACATAGTGAAATCCAAGAGAGGAGGCTTAAGCCCAACAAAGGATTTTTCCTTCACAGGGTGGACATGCATGCTTGCTTAGGCAAGGATCAGAAGAGCTCATTAACTCATCATCACTTTTTCTCCACAAGCTTGGTGGAAGAAACCCCCCAGTAGTTCATCATCCTATTTTTAGTGGTTCACAAAAACACATTAGGATACAAGTTAGTATTCACTGCTACTCTAAAGTTGTTTCTGAAACATGTTGCTACTTGTTGACTTAGTCTACAATGTGACACCCAATATTGGATGATGCTTTTGGCAAGGTACCTGACAGGCATTGATAATGATATTTTCCCTTGGTCTTTTTATTTCAGTAGTTATGAAATATTCAAAGGCAGCAAAAACATGATAATGGTTTTCTAGTGAGACATACCCACCATCAGTGTTTCTAGGGGCCATTGCTATTTGTGAGTATGTTCTATGAAATTTGCTGCACACATTTTGCACACCTCACTCATATCTGTATACTGGTGCATAGGTCTGAACATATTGTGTTTTTCTACATTTATGAGCATATGTGTTGGTGTATTCTTTCATTGTCATTTGTGTAATCAACTTGAGATTTAAACTAGGGCTCGGGAATATCGGAATCTACATCCTAATTCAGCTTCCTGAGTTCACTACAATCTGAAACACGCAAATGGATAATTTAATTTAATCACCTTTGAAATGGTGTGTTCAGTCTCACTACATAAATACTCAAAATGCATAAAGTTAATGCCACCCTGGGACACATTTCACCCTGACATTCAGGTGATCAGGCCAAGGAGCAGAAAATTGGGTCTTAATTACGTTTTTCCTTTCTGATTTGCCTTGCCATTCACCTAGTCCAGTAAGCCTAAAACCGCATTCAAACCAGTCAATATATTTACGTTAAGCAAGCAGAAAAATGGTGTGTGTTCATAAGCCACGATGACTCCAGCTCACCTCATTACCCAATTTGAGCAGCTCAGATTCACTACCAATACACACACACACACACACACACACACACACACACACACACACACGTCACAATGCAATTTATGACATCACAAGGGAAATTTATTCTGTTATTTGACCCTGCATACCTTATTTTATGTACCCTGCTTCTTAAATTCTAAAAATGAGTTTATCATTCTGTCCCTAATCCTGGCTGGTTCTTCTCAGGCTTTGGAAAGATGTGCCTAATAATTTCATTAAAACCCCATGTAATTTTCATAGGTGGAAGGACAGTGAGAGGCTGAAGCAGAGGGTAAGAGTCCTAGCCAAAACTCAGCAAAGCAGTGCTGGCCACTGTGTCCATTCAGGGCTTTATGATAATCCCTGTAGTACTGCTGCTTGTTGTCTCAAATGGCTTCTTTTAATTTGCTATATTTGTCCTCAGCTTCTAAAGTCTCATGGCTTGGCTTACATCTGCCTCATTTCCTTCATCTCTAAAATACTGTTCTCTCATTCTGTTAACCTGATTTCTGTTAGGTGGATTTCAAATTCAAGACGTATCCATCTGACTTCAAGTTCTAGCTTCTAAGATGTTGGATGTTTTCATAATAAAGAGACGTTCAGTGTTTGCAAGGATTAATATACTATTCCTGATTGGATACTACACAGTACTGCACGTAATACAAGCTTACATAAAGATCACTGCTATAGAAAACCAGTCTCAGAAATCCAGGAAAATTCAGTTCACTTCAAGAATGCTACAAGGATGAGAAATCATCTGTGATTTTAAAAGGGGAAGAGTAGCCAAACGTCAGATAGTAACGGACTTTGATATGACACTCAAGGAAATTTTCTTACCTAAGATGATTTCTAACATGTTATAACATCACTGGCAGTGATAAAAGTGGTCACAGATAAATGTTTAAGAAGTTATTGCAACTAAAGGAAAAACAGATTATTGAAATTCATCCCGCTTTTACGATACAAGAGAAATTTTTTTTCAGTAACATAATTTGCTTCTTTGTTGGATGAGCTTTATCAAAAGTTAAATGTAAAGCAATTCTGACAGGATCTGAAATTATGCTTAAGGAAGGATACAAAATTATTATCAGGAAACTCCAACAGCACAAAATTCCTCGTGTTCATATTTTCAGGTGATTTTGATGATGTTCTATGGGGTGTCGTTAGTGAAATGGTGTTTCCCACCCAAATGACAAAGTTTGTCTCATTCATCACTTTTGATGAAAATGAGCACTCGAAAGAGTGAAAAAACTAGCCTATGTATTTGAAAAATATGACAATACCTTGAAGAGCACAGAACATTTCAATTAGATAAAAGGCAAGAACAACATAATTCTGATGAGACCCCCCCCCCCAATTGACACTGAAGAATAGCAGATGGCAATTTTGAGCACCTTCTAAAATTAGATATCTGAATGGAAGAGTAGAGAGGTTTTAGAAGAGTGTTGCTTTAATGGAAGATGGATCACTGGAGAAAGCTAACTCTATTTTAGAGGATTCTAGACAGTATTCCACAGGAATATCTCTCCTATGTGAGCAACTGGTACAAAAAGTGCACATTTCTTTGTCTTGACAACTCTTATTTTGGATATATTTTTGGTATTGAATATTTCTTTCACATACTTTTAGATATGTTGAATCCATTAACTAGGAACTGATTCTTTACATTTTCATGTGTTTTATTCATGTGAAAGGTGGAGAGGGGAGACTGAGAGAGAATGAGAGATAGAGATCGGGATAGAGAGAGAGAGAGAGAGAGAGAGAGAGAAATTTGAGAGAAATTAAAAGCTTTTTAGTTCACTCTCCCCGGACAGCCAGGCCTGGTTCCAGCCAAAGCTAGGAGCCCATAATTCAATCTAAATCTCATGTAGGCAGCAGGATCCAACCTCCTGAGCCACACCTGCTGCTTCCCAGGACAATCGTTAATAAGCATCTTAAATCAGAAGTAGAGCAGAAACTTGAACCTTTGCTCCTGACATGGGATGCACATGTTCCAATCAGTGTCTCAATCACAGCACCAAAAGCTTGCCCCACAAAAGCTTGAAGAAAGGATTATAGAATCTTTTTTTTATTAAATTTGCACAATTTAATAATTTGGGATAAAATTTACACACTTTTAATTATTGTGCCTTTGGTAACCTGAATGAATTATGTAACAAGAAAGAAGAACTTTTTTAAGTATGTGTGTGTGTGTGTGTGTGTGTGTGTGTGAGCTTCATCTTGGCTTTGCACCTCCATTTTTTGTCTTGACACTCAAGATATCAAGAAAGTATTCAACCAGGAAAATCATGTATGCTAATGTTTTAAATAAGAAAACACGATATCGTTCTTCTGATTGCTGTCAAATACTAGAATTACATTGCTTTGTATTGCATTGGATGCCTATTATCAAAAACATATATATGTGACCTGCCTAGAAGTGGGACTTTCTTGCTGAAATAAGGCAATATGCGAGCTGACAGGATTGTTTCGAAAGCCGTATGTATTGCCTGAGTTTGTTACCATCAATTCAAGATTCGCCTCGTAATGCTTCAAAAAATTAACTCATTAGCTTCCCAGAGCTCTAACAATTCACTGCAGACACAGTTCAGTATTGATAGTCCAGCAAGAATGCCAACTGACCTACAGGCAGAACTGCCTTCCTCTCATGGGTGTTCTAACAAGTGCTTCAAAATGCTGTTGGTATGTCTTTCTCGACTCAAGCCTGCCATCAGACACCTGAGCCTTCATCAGCTCATCCTGCTGGCTCATCTATGGGGTATGCATGACAACAGTTAGAACATGCTGTCTCTGTGTGTTAGTCATCCAGTCATTCTTGTTTCCAAGTGGCTACCTTAGTCCATTAGTACTAAAAGAGAATATCTCAAACTGTATCATCAGTGAAGAAGGGATATTTATTTTTTCAGAGTTCTGGAGCTGAGATCAAGGCCCTGGAATCTGGGGAAGGCATTCTTACTGCCTCCTCACACAGCAGAAAGCAGAAAGGAATGCATAAATGCTCTATGAAGACTCTTCCATTTCTTAACCCTAGTGGTCAGATAATCTTTCAAAAGTCCCACTTCTTAACGCCATCCCATTAGCAACACCTGAATTTTGGAGGAGGCATATTCAAGCTATAGAATTCCACCCCTGGCCCACAGATTCATGTCTTTCTTACATTATATATGTTTGCATTCAAATACTTCAATATGTATGTATTGCCTTCAAACACTTCAAATGTTGTCACAGTTGGGGCTGCCAAGGAGCAATGTGAAGTCTGAAATATGCCTGGGGCTAAAGCCCTGCCAGTTTGGGTCTGTGATGTGTGCCGTAGCCTGGACGATCTATAGAATGAATTCAGTATCATTATTTTATTGTTGTGATGAGCAGCCCCTAGCTGCCTCTTTTCATGGTATCTCCATAGCATATGTTTGTTTGATTAGCACCTTGCTTTCTCTCTTTTTTTTTTTAATTTTTGCTTATTTATTTAAAAGGTGGAGTTATAGAGAAGCAAAGAGAGTGCATTCTCTACCTTCTGGTTCACTCCCCAAATGGCCACAAAGACCAGGGCTGGGCCAGGCTGAAGCCCAGAACTTCTGGGCTTGACCACTTACTCACCAATAACACTGTTGATAGCTCTTCTCTCCTTCTGAGCCCTCACCAGAATCACTTACTATGCACTCTGCAATACAGACCTTTTTCAGAATTCACTTCAACACTGTTTCAGCATGCACCTACCTACCAGGCAACATTGCTAGGTATTTGTTGTAGCAGCAGTCACTCCTGGTACCAGTTTCTTAGTGTATATGTGCTGTTTCTTCAGAAAAGATTTGTTTCTAACGGTTCTGAAGGTTGAGCATCTGGCAACTGGCGAGTGCCTTCTTGTTGCTTCCTCACAGCGTGGAAGGTAGAAAGCCGACACCAAATGCCACAAAAATTCTCTTTTACAGGAATTTTCATGGCCCAGCATGAGGATTAAATGGTTAAATTTTCACATTGCAAGTGACAAGATCCTACATGGGAGCTGGTTCGTATCCCAACTGCTCCACTTCCCTTCCAGCATCCTGCTTGTGGCCTGGGACCCTGCACCTGCATGGGAGACCTGCTCCTGGCATCGGAACAGCACAGCTCCAGCTGTTGTGGCCATTTGGGAAGTGAACCAGCAGATGGAAGATCTTTCTCTGTCTCTCCTTCTCTCTGTAAATCTGATCTGCCTCTCTAATAAGAATAAATAATTTTCTGTAGAAACTTTTATACCATTCATGAAAGGAGTCCTTATGTTCTAATAACCTCTTACAAAGAACTACTTCTCAAAACTATCAGAATTATAGAGGAGATACCTTCAAATCATAGCATATTCAGAAACCTTCCATGTAAAGACATCTGGAAACACAGTATCACCTTTACCACCACTCATTTGTGGAACATTGCAATGTATGCCACAAGACAGTTGAGTTGATGATCTTGCTGTGAGCCTTTATTAATATCTTCATACTTATTAGGGTCAACTTGGGATCATGAAGATAAAATGAAAAAGCTAGCATTACTTAGTTTGAATCTTCCATTCTTATTCCTTTAGCAGTTTCTTGGCTATCCAGTGAAACACACAGTTCATCCTCCTCCAGCACAGGATCAACTCTTCAGGGTGAGTACTTGGGGTAAGATTTGGGGACATTGAGAGCAATGATCTTTTCTATTTGGGCCAGGTAATAAAGCAATAATCAATGATAATCCAAATATCGGATGGGTATTTAAAAGTGTATCTTGATGGTTGAAATGACAATGAAAATCAGAATTCTTCCCAGCTATTCAAAGAAAAAAAAGAATAAGCCTTAGAGTTTTCTCCATTCTTTTTCAAAATGAAATGTAGCAGATAGCACTTTTTACATTACATCTGTAAAAGAAATTTCAATTTTTAGTTATCTCTTAGAAAATGGAGCAATTAGTCACTGTAGACATGTCTGATCTGACACTGCAAAGGAGTCTTTAAGGGTCATATCAAACACACTGAGACAGGAAGATCAAGTGTTTTTGTTCAGCTGTATCTCTGATACTCTGATAGAGAATAGATTAGCCTTACATTTCAATTACTCAAACTTGTGGCATCATCCGGTACCATGAAGATCCTTTAATGATATAACTGCATTGTTTGGAAGTTGGCAGCTTATCTATTTCTCTAAACTAATATAAAACTTCTTTCATTCAGTTTGCTGTTATCTACCAGCCTTGATATAAACGTGTCCTTAGTAAATTTTACTTACATCTTAGACACCCTCTAGCCATTCCAATACAGTGCTTGCTAACATCACAGGAAACCCAATCATCTCCTTATAGAACTAGACCAGGCGATATGTTCTTCAGATCTTCAACCATTCCCTCTCTATTCCCAGATGATATCTTCACCAGCACAACCAGACCATTTACGGAAGTTCCCACAACTGCCAGTGGATCTACTAAAAATAATCACACCCATATAACTGGTAAATTATTTATTAGGTTTATTTTGCCATTGTGATGTTTTGCTTACTCAAAAATTATTCATTGATTATCTACCGCTTGCCAGACACTCTGTTATTTAACGGGTGTACAGCAATAACATTGACCTTCTGAAGAGTATAATCTACTATAGATGATAATAAGTCAATCATCACATAATTAAATTTACTTGTAAATTACCATACAACTAAGTTTATTTTTGACAATCATTATGATAAGGTGTTGACAGTCAAACAGAAAGATTTGATTGTAATTCAAGCCTGAGAAAGGACTATCTGAGGATATGTTATTCAAATTAAAATCTGAAAAATAAATAGCAATTAGCCATCTGAAAAGCAGCAAGAAATCACAGCAAAACAAGGAAGATACTGTTGGGGAAAAAATATATTCCTACGATTTAACTAATAAAATTTGCTGATGCATAATGTAGTTCTTTGTTTTTTACAATAAGAAAGCAAAGAACTGGGTAAGTTATGCAGGTCAGCATTATAAACTTACAGGCATAATTAGCTCTCATTTCAGGGATAGGAATCTCACTATCAGGTGATGAAATTCCCACCTTTTAGGGGCTTCAGATCACTGACATTCTGGTGCACACATCTTGACAATTGAGTTGCAAACCAAGGCTCTATTGGCCTACCAACATAGTTAAGATACTCATGCATTAAAGAGCTGTCCAATTTAGAGGGGAAGCAACTCTGGAGGTATACTTCTCCCACTGAACATTCCAGAAGCCGATGTTTCTCTTTTTTCATTTGATTGGAAGACAAATACAGGCATTGACTCAAGATCAATTTAAACCTTTTGTTTCTTCACTTTCTCTAGAGTGTTGGAGACAACATGTTATATCTTAGCACATTTGCAGTGTGGAGCCTAGTGAAATGTTGACTTGCCAAAAATCAGACTTACTCTTGTGATGACCATCTGTGTGATATGTGCTTGTGTATGTATGTTTGTGTGTGTAATCACGCTACTCTAGAGGCTTGAGCTGTAAACTCTCTAGCCTCGTGTTTTGATGAGAATGCCATATGGTTGTGTAACAGGACTACATGAACTTAAATGGATATCTACTTAGAATTGGGTTAGGATAAGCACACAAAATGGCCATGAATCCCTGGATGTGTGTTGTAGTAAAGAAAAGATCCTCAGCACTCACTAACCAGAAATAGCTGCAATCTAAACTACACAAACCAGGCGAAAAACAGACATACTCCAAAATAGTTATTTACCTTTCTTTCTTTTCTTTTCTTTTTTTTTTTTTTGGTAATGAGAAACAATATAATAAAAATTGGGCAGGGTGGAGCATTTGGTGTAACAAATAACTTTCTAAGCATATTCCACATCAGAGTGCTGGAGATCTTTCCCCAGCTCCATGTCTTGACTCCAGTTTCCTGCTAACACATGCTTGGATGTAGGATCAGCTCTCAGGTCTAGGCTCTTGCGTCCCAGCCAGTGTGGACATATGAGGAGTGAATCAACAGACTGTAATATTGTTCTCCTGTATGTTTTTCACTCTCCCTCCATTAAATAAATAAGCAAATTAATAATAAAAAATTACAACTGAGTAAAAGAGAATCAAAACCTTGTCTCTCCATACATAAACCTTACCATTTAACATAGTGATGAAGATAATCCAAATAAAATTTGTCCAAATGGTCTATGTAAATTAAGTATCTACAGATTTGATTTGTCTGTAATGCCCTTAGAAGTTTCACTGGAGTGTAGTTAGAAATAACAAAATCTAGGAAACAATTTAATCCTATGGTGGATCCATTAGGAAATTATCCAATTATTGAATAAATGCTGTAAATCTGTAGGCATTGCTGTGGATAATATTCCAATAATTCTTTTTTGAAGAGGCCAGGAGCAAAACAGCATCAATAGTATGTTCCAATTTATAAGAAAATAGATACAAAATGGTCCCAAAACATTTAGATACCTTATATTTATAAAAATTTCTGGTGAGACACTTCATTGACAAGGCTGATGCATACCCTCAGAGCATGATGGTGGGCAATGAGCAGCCCACCCTGATGAGTTCACTCTCTTAATGTCTTTGCAGGCATTGTGATTGATAGGCCTAATGATGGGATGTCCTGGCCGGCGATTGTCGCAGTTCTGCTCTTTGTCTGCATATCATTGTTTGGTCTTGGGATAAGAAAATGGTGCCAATACCAAAAAGAAATGTGAGTATAACAATAAGATACGTAGGAACTGATCATTTGTATTACAAAGTGTTTTCTGAGCAGAAAATGTGAGATCCTCTTATGCTGTCCTTAAAACAATGTTCTCAGAAGGCTCTCAGAGAGGTCTTCTAGCTTGCCCCACATCACACAGTCTGGATGAAATGCACAAGTCCTGCCCGCACTGGGCTGCCTGAGCTGTAATACTCAAAATGCAGAGCAAGTCAGCGGGTGTGAAATGAGAACTGAGCCTCACCTTACCTCAAAACTAAAACTAATTATTCTTTTAATCTTCATTATCTTTTTCATTTTCGTGCATCTTTGAACTGCTCTGGCTGAGCTAAGCTTAGATGCTCAAGTGTGAAATTGAGTAAGAAAGGTAATTTTAAGAGATTTCCAACATATTTTTCATCAAAGTGGTCTTCTGTTGTACTTTTTTCCCTTTTTTCCAAGAAGTAAAGCAATTAAACATTCACTTACCGCCATTCTGCTTGTCTTACTAAATTGTTTTCCAAAACTCTTCTCCACTCAGCATTTAGAAATGGCTTGTAAGGTTAAACTCACTTTTCTGACTCTCTATTGTGGATTAGTCTGGATTAGGCTATGTTCACAGGAGCGCCCACATTACACAGACATGATTGTCCACGTCTTAACATTACTAAGACAACACTTAACCTTGTACAATAATACTTCTGCCTTTTAGAACGTATCCTTGAGGATTCTGCAACTATGTGCAGTGTTTCTGGTGAATAAGACACTGAGTTAGAAATTGGAAATTCTGGATTCTTGTCCAAGGACTACATTTTGGTCACCATTTATGAAAATCATTATTTCTCTACAAGACAAAAAAGACAAGAGTGCAAGTTCTCAGACTTTCATCCACATTTTGCCCTGTGTCCAATCTCTGTGAAAGCATCAAAACAAAGTGATCAAGTTTAGAGGGTCTTTATATTAAAATGGGCAAATGGGAATCCGACTATTTCAATTGATGTTTGTGAATTGTTCTGTATTCAACTGTACTACATACCAACTGAAGATCTCTTTCTCTCTCTTTCTCTCTGTCAAAATTAATACTTTGAACTGTCAGGGCATATAGGTGCTTGAGTCATTGATGTAAGATGCTCACATATAAAATCATACTCCTTGAAAAAGACATCTGGATAATTTGTACAACTAAGTTTAATACTAACTTGTGTGCTAGGTGCATATCCAACAAAGATAAGTTGTGTTAAGAATGGCATTTTATACAATGATGATTTTGAGAATATTCTCTAATCCAGATAAAAGAGATTCTGGCACTATTGCACCAGTAGCAACCAACTCAATGGAGACTCAGCAGAGCTTTGCTTCCAGCCTGTACCAGCTCCTAGAAGTACACAGCAAGCATGTAGGTCAAGGCTGGTGATAGGTTTGGCAAAGGGGCTATTTATAAAGCTTCAGTCTTAAATGACTTTAAAATTTGGTCTGTGAAGGAAAACCAAATATTTTCTTGTATAAGAGAAAAACATCTGATATTAGGAGGCACTTACATGGAGAATAATGGTACAGGTTGAGAAATTTCAGTTGCTGGGCTGATTCTCTTAGACTTGTTGTTTTTGCTGCTCAACCTCAGTTTTATCTGTAGAATGAGGACAGTGATACTCAATTCTCAAATGCAAAATAAATATTATATAAATATGTTCAAACCATAAAATGGGTATCAGTATCAATTAGTGATATGATAAGGATATTCAAATGGCTGGTAGGACTGTAGTGTGAAGCTTAATTCTGCAAGAACTAGGAAGGATATCTGTTTTTCACCAATCTCCTACTTTTAGAAAATAAATAACACTTCACATTCAATTCATTTAGCATTCAAACAGCTATATTTTGTTCCTAGCATGGAAAGACCTCCTCCATTCAAGCCACCTCCACCTCCTGTCAAGTACACCTGCATTCAAGAGTCCATTAGCTTTGGTCTGCCTTGTCATGAGATGGAGCTGCTCTACCCCTTTGAGACTTCACCATGTAGTGGAGCTCTCCTGCAATCCAACTGAGAAGGTGTGTTTTATGTTACATAAACATAATCACCCTCCAGCCAAGCCTCTGCTGCAGATGAAATCCATTTCAGAGCTGAATAATCTGCTCTTGTACCTGCATAGGCCTGAAATTCCAACAGCATTGAGCGGCTCTGTCATGTTCACACCCAAAGCCATCTGTATGAATTTCCTTGCTTTTGTAAAAGCTGCATGTTAGGCTGCTGCAATTTAAAAATGCCTGCAGTGATTTACTTACTTTTCTAGTTAAAGGAACAATTATAGTTTCAATTATATGGCTTTACTCAACCCGCCTCAAACATCTTCCAGCATTCTAAATTATTTTGTGAAATTATGATCATCTTGGAACTTTGTTGCACTCCACAAGAGAATTACAAGAAGAAAAAATCTGAAACTTCCAGCAAGAGTTACCAATAATGAAACAGTACAGTCAATATTTCAACAGAGATTTTGTTGTTTATTGCCACTAGAGGAAAATAGAATGCATCAGACAAAAACCATATTCTGAGTCTCCTTTCACTTTTTCTTCCATTGTGCTCAGTCCAGTCTCCTACCTCACAGACCAGAATAAGGAGGAGCAAAAGAGATAGCTAGTCAACAATGAAGTAGCCTGGAAGATACAACATTTTGCTGGTTTCTAAATTGTATGAGCTCGGGCCTGGCGTGAAAGCGTAGTGGTTAAGGTCCTAGCCTTGCACACCCTGGATCCCATATGGGCACCAGTTCTAATCCCGGCAGCCCTGCTTCCCATCCTGCTCCCTGCTTGTGGCCTGGGAAAGCAGTTGATGAAGGCCCAAAGCCTTGGGACCCTGCACCCGCGTGGGAGAACCTGGAAGAAGTTCCTGGCTCCTGGCTTTGGATTGGCTCAGCTCCAGCCATTGTGGCTGCTTGGGGAGTGAATCATCAGATGGAAGATCTTCCTCTCTGTTTCTCCTCCTCTCTGTATATCTGACTTTCCAATAAAAATAAATAAATACTTTTTTAAAAAATAAAATAAAATTGTATGAGCTAAGAGTGAGTTCATTCTCAGCTTAGCCTCTGTGTATGTAGGACTGTATGTTTGTGATGTGCATCACACTAGCAACAAATTGTTATGTTAGCAAGCAGGTGTCCTAACCGCATTTCAATGCATCTATTTAATTTCCATTACTCTTTTTTTTTCCCCATCTGGGGACTTCACTGTTCATCCAACATGCCTGTTTTGGTCTGTCTTGAAACAGATAAACTCAAAGGAGACTAACACCGATAAATTAATCCTGCTCCAACCGATTTTTCACAAAGCAATTCAAGCAAAATGTACAAGTGACAGAGAAACTTAGATATTCCCTGTATTCAGCAATAGTTTGTCAGTGAATAAATTACTGCTCACTCTTGTCTCCCTAGCCCCAAGCACTCTTCCACAGGAAGGGAAAACAGATGTTATGGACAGCGGAAATGATAGGCAACTTTTGCATGGATTTCGGTCTGCAAAAGAATCCTTAGCTCACTTGTAGCACAACTCCCTCTGACTGCACATGAGCAGAAGTTTAAATACATTTTTTATTTACCATGGCTGCTCTTCTCTTGATCAATTCAGTCAGAATCTCAGAGGTACAAGACAGGCATAAGCACTCTCAGATGACTCATGTTCAGTTGAAAATAAGAATTACTGACACAGTGGAAGTCCCTACTTATTGATCAGAATCTTAGGGACTTAAGTCTTTAGTGATGGAGCCTCTTCCGGATCTCCCACATGGGTTCTGGTTCCCCCACGTGGGTTCTGGGTCCCAAGGTTTGGGCCATTCTAGACTGCTTTCCCAGGCTGCAAGCAGGGAGTTAGAAAGTAAGTGGGACCACCTGGATTAGAACTGGCATCCATATGATATCCAGGCACATTCAAGGCAAGGACTTTAGTCACTAGGCTACCTCATCAGGCCCTCTAATTATTTTAGCGTCGCTTTTTTTATAGACAAGAGCTGTCTCGCATGTATTTAAATAAGTATTGATTTTTTTAATGCTCAGATAGTACTTTCCAAAATTTTTGACAGAAAACAAAGAAAAGTAGAAATGACTGGCCCCTAGAGATGTGATGACCTAGAAAATGTTGAGAAAAAAAAGACTATAAAATGAAAAAAGAATGGAATAATTCAGAATTAGCCAATAAAATTCAGAGAAATGTAACAAGGGCAGGCAGTGAAGAGAAGGGTGCCCAGAGGCTCTGCGCTGGGGAGCAGGTTCTGGAGGCACTGCTCTTGGCACCAGCAAGTAGGGAGTGTGTTTGGCTTCATCCTGGGGGTTCAACCTGCAGAGACACAAACACTTTGCTCTATCTTGTTGGGGGCACTGACCATTTCCTGCCCTGTGATTGGCCCTTTGCCCTGATTGGTATGCCTTGGTTCTCTTTAAGTTGATTGGTCAAGTTTGACAGTTAAGCGGGGGGCTTGGCGGGGGAGGGGCTGGAGCGTAACGGATATAACGGTGATAACGGTCAACGGACAACGGTCACGACGGGACGGAGGAGCAGAATAAAAGCGCCTTGGAGACTCTCTCAAGTGTCGGGTGATTTCTTCCGCGGGACGGGAGGACCCCCGATATATCTGAGATGAGGGCTAAAATACTGAGTATGATGAAGGTTTTAGCAATAACAATTAAAGTTATACCAAAAGTTAAAGGGTGAGTATCCAGCAGGAAATACAGACACAGTGAACAGAAGCTGCCACCAGGGACACTCGGCACATGAACTGACAAAGAGGGACTATTGTTCTAGCCGGAAACACATGGTAGGAGTAGAACAACTTATGTCCTGTCATCTGCAAAGGGACTGTCTTCTTGGACTTGGTGATTACTTACAAGCCGCCTGCTGCATCCAGGAAGGCATAGCAGAGAGCAGAGCAAGACCTCAGGTGACGTCAGGATCAAGGAACAGGTTCAGAATTAATCTTAATTCTGATCCAGTTTGTCAGTGAGGAGTCTTGACATTCATTGGGCACATGTCACCAGAGAAATGGGAAAAGTAATATCTAAAATATTTCTCCCCAGCTGGCATTTCACACCTTTCTGTCTCTTTGATCTTCTTTGCTGGCCCCGCTCAGCCAGGCTCCCCAAGTTTGCTCAAAGGCTGTGTGAGGGTGTGACTGCATGAAAGATGCCTCACATCATGAAGAAAAGAACATGACAGGGTCCATGTACAGAGACCTCTTCCCGTGTGCTCGGAGTTTTGTCACACTGTTTCTCATACACTGTCCGAAGAAGACAGAAATGAATGCAATGGACTCAGTGGGCCTGAGAACCCAAGACCCATGCACAAGAATTCACTTACTTAAAAAAAAAAAAATGAAAACCACCTTATTTAATTTTATTTGGAAGGCAGATTTAAGAGAGAGAGAAATCTGGCTATTTGAGGAGTGAAAAATAGAAAAGAACGCTTTTATGGGTGGCCAGTTTACGGTTTGAAAGACCACATTCAACAACTGATTTTAAAAAAAAAATCTAAGAACTGCTAGAGTGATACAAATAAAGAGAAAAGCATATTCAGAAAGAACAGAATTTTAGAAACAGAGTGTTGGGGCTGGCATAGTATATTGGTTAAAGCTATCACAACGCAAACACCTGTTATGGGCATCATTCCTGTCCTGGCTGCTCCATTTTCAATTCCTTTCCCTGCCACCCACATGGGAGACCTGGATGAAGCTTCTGGCCCCTGGCTTTGGCCTAGCCCAGACCTGGCCCTTGCAGCCATCTAGAAAGTGAGCCATTAGATGGAAGATTCTCTGTCTTTCTCTCTTCCTCGCCCTGACTTTAAAATGAAGAAGTAAGTTTTTTATTAAGGGTATCATCTAAGAGGGAGTATAGGAACGACTTTAAAAGACTGCAGCGAGGGAGCTGCCGTGAGAGGCTAGGACACACGGCAGAGCCCCTGTGAATGGGAAACCCTGCACAATGATTTCACCAGGAAGGCAAAAAATCAGTGGTAGAAGAATATTTTATTGTTTATGTGATGAGGCCAAAAAAAAAAAAGGAAAAGCAGATTAACCTCCAAAGATGCTTTGGCACAATATATTCCTTATAAAAAAAACTTCAGAGAAAATGGCATATTTTCTTAAGTACCTGTGTATCCCTGATTTGTGCTTGCCTACCTATACAAATACCAGTTACTCTTACTCTACAAGAAGGAGCTTTAACAATTGATAGAAAAATGGCATTAAAGGTGGTTTATTTTGGTGCCAAGAAATTCATGCAGTCTTTTCACAGCACATATTTTAAATGACATTTCTGGAAAGCTTTTGTAATAATGTGGAATATTGAAGTATAGGAATGACCTTGAATGGATGCAGGGATGGATTCCTACCAGAAGTATCACAGTGAACTCATGGTTTCTCATGTGTGTGTGTGTACATATGCATGGGTTAAAGTGGCATCCATCTCAAGTATCACATCTGGAGGTCTATGATGTTCATCTGTCCCCGATGATAATAATTTCTATCGTCTCTGAGTCTACACATGTGTGTGCATGTGTATATGTTACATTGTACATACATATGCCTGGATTGCCTAGATCTGGGTCTTCAAAGAATCAAGATGCAAAGATCTCCTAGTGGTAATGAATACATCTAGTATCCAGATGTCAGTCTCACAATTCCCTGGCAGAAGCAACCATTACTTCTCCCAGAAATGCCCGGTTAGGGGCAAAATTATTTTAAAATGGCCTTTGTATACCTTGTTACCTCGGAAAAATAAGAACACGGGCCATGTGGTCCAGCAGGTAAGTCTGAAAAATGCAAGAATCAGATTAGAGAGACGTCCACTGAATAAATCTATCGTAATTCGAATGCCAAATATCACTGGTACAACAAAGAAATAGAAACAATACAATACAAATACTATAAATAGAAACAACCAAGAAAAAATAGGAGTTCATGAGCCCTAACCAGCAATACCTGATAGAAATACAAGTATGTAGATAGACCATGAGGGAGAGAGAGAAAAGGGAGAAGCAGGGCAAGCAGGGATGCTCAGCAAAC